ATTACCCGACTTGTACGACAGCATCAGCAGTGTATGTGTGTGTGTGCTGGTCGTCCCTTCAACCACATTACTGATTCCCAGCGGGGAAGTAGCTGAAGCAGCATCGGAGGCAGCAGCAGCAGCAGCAACCACTGCTCTGAGCTACTTCAGCCACTACCTCTTGTGTAATATAACTTTTAATTTAATTTCCATTTCTTGAGCGGTGACGCGAACGAGTGGATTCACTTCACTATCGAGTTTTCTATTTTATTTCCATATTCGAAAAGGGTGATTCTCTCTCGCTCTCTCGTTTCCTCTCGCTTTGCTTGTCCCCCTTTTTAGGTGCTAGGCCCTGCTGTCAGAGCAGGGAAGACAGGCTCAGTGGTAGTTGCTCCAGAAGCAGTGATATGCTCTTTTTTGGTTAAGTGGCAGCCGCTGGCGCCTGTTCACCCTGCAGACCCTGCATGATTGCCAGCAGCAGCAGAACTTGCATCAGCACCAGCACCAACACCAGCAACAGCACCGCCCGAGAGATTGCCCCAGTAGATATAAAATATTTATGATGATGTGCTCTCAGTGAATGCTCTCTCTCACTGTGTGTGCTCTTCAGTTATACCTTCTCGCTGTGGCACTTGTGTAGTAGTCCTCCGGTACCACTTTCAATTTACTGGCAAATTGACGCCACCAGAATCAGACTTTCTTTCTTTCTCTTCTCTCACATAATGGGCCCAAACTGTGGAGCTGTCTTGTCTGATCTGCCGCACAACTGGTGCCCTTGACAAGTGAGCGTGTGTGTGTGTGTCTGTCTGTGGCCGCAGTTCGGTTAATTTAATTGCATTACTATTGCCTTGGATTTGCACAACAGCCATGTTTTTTTCGGCGAAAAAGGCTCCGCTAATGTCACCGTTGCCATTTAATTCCCTCTTTATTAATGGATGACACGGTCATCATCGCCATCATCATTCCGGTGCTCTTCAGTGTCCCACTCTGCCTTCACCGTTGTGTTTGGCTCATTCTCTCTCTCCGCCTGTGCAATAGGCTTGATTGTTTCGCAGCGCTGGCACTAAATTTAGCCGCCACTACTGCCGGCGACCGTAGTAGGCCAACATCGAAAAAACGCTGGTTGGCAGAACAAACTCACTCATACACTGAACTGAGCTTGTCAGTCTGTCTGTGTGTGTTTCTGGTGGACGATATGGTGTTGCCCGTGTTGTGGGTGAAGCTAAGCCAACAGCAGTCAGTGCGCAGCAAGTGTGAATGAGCCGCCGCTGCTGTACACTAAATTACCAAATACGGTCAAGTGGAGTTGAGAAGCGGCTCAATTTCCGGCGGTAGACATGTTCACACACAAATCATGTACTTGTTCACAGTACTTTTTGCCATTGAGTAGAAGTGCACAAGTGCACAGAGAAGATGCGCACAGCAAATGGTGGAGATGCCAGTGCAGTCGCTCACCTTGCGATCAATGACCAGTTCGGCAGTGCGGTGGTGGGGTGACGGAGTTGATTCCACTGTTAGCAGGGAAAGGGGCAAACTGCCTGTCAGGAGAGTGAGAGCGACTTCGACAGAGAATATGAATACTCTTACTGAATATAGTCAAACAGTGGCGGCAACACTGGTTGCCCTGTACGAGTGCTGTGCTGTGCTCTACTGGCTGCTTCACTGTCACTACAGTTCGAGTATTGCCAAATACGACGGCTGCTATTCTTGATCACCGGAGAAAGAAAGAACTGAGTGCGCATCTTCTTTTGCAGCAGTGGCAATACTTCGACGTAGGGAAAAGGAGCATCATCATCACCGTCATCTACTTCGCTCCTTCTCCTTCTTCTTTTCTTCTTCTTACCGGCATGTTCTTCGATTACTGCAAGGAGGCAAAAGTTGCCGCCGCCGCCAGAGATGTTGCTGCTGATGATGCTGGTGGTGGTGGCGGTGGTAGCAACCAAAAAGGCAATTGCTTCTGCTGCAGTTATTGCCTGGCGGCCACGTTGGTGCACAAGCGAACAAGTGGCGACGAGTGAACGAAGTCAGTCATTCAGGAGAAGTCAGTTAGAGTCGGCAATCGATTGTGGTCGTGTTGGTGCAGTTTTCTTGCTGTTTGTGTATGTTGATTATCAAACTTCAGACTGCCAACTTACAGAACTCACTGTGTTCTTCCGTTCTTCTCTACGCATTGTCTCCTCGTTCCCGATTTGCTGAACTTTTGCCGTTTTGCCATTCTTGTCGGTGCCTTGTCTTCTCCACCACCGCCACTGCCGCCACGATCATCGAGACGCTCTATTCTCGTGACGAAAGTGGTGCTATTACAGAAGATCAACAGCAAAAGGCAGAAGGCAGCCGCATCAGTGGCAACATCAGCCGAACAAGCAGCTGTTTGGCTGCCGTTGCCGTTCTTCGTTTGTCAGTCAGTGCCGTTCGTCGCACGCAGACTGCCTCAATCCTTTCCTTGTTATATTTTAGTTACATTTTAATTTCGCCTTTTCTGCAGCCAGCAGTTTTATTTTTCCCTTTTCCCTTTCCCTTTCTCTTCTTCATCTCCACTTGACTGGCTCAGTGCCGTCTTCTTCGTTTCTTCTTCTTCGTTCTTCCTCTACTCCTTCTCCGCACCATTGTCTATTGCCATAATAGTCAAGTTCTGTCGTTACCGTTCAGTGTCTCACCAGTGCCTCTTGCAGCAGCACCACCACCATCACCACCGCCAAACACATGCACACCCAACACACACAACTGATTGCCATTTTGCGGCGAATTATTTGAATTCTTCATTGGCTCTCTCACTTTCTTCCCTGTTCCTTTAACTACGCAGTGCTCTCAATTCTCTCGATCGACTGCTGCCGTTGTCTTTTTTCCCACTGCTGAGCTCTACAACTCTAGTTTAGCTGTGTGCTGCATCAGCCCGCTGCAATTGCAAGTGGCACTTTTTTCACTTTGGCACCTCATCTTTCTCATCTTTCTCTTCCTCATTGATTTTTCAGTTGAAAAGAGAGATATAAAAAGCAGTTTAAAGAATTTAATTGCCTCTTCTACTCATTTGTGTTTAACTTTGAGCAGTCTTTCAATTATCGAGTTTTCTAAGAACTTCAAGAATCTGCAGTATTACCCCGAACGCTCACTACAACTCATTGCAGCCTCGATTGGCACCCGTCGACTGTACACCTGTGCTTACCAACACCTACACTACTACTACTGCAGCTCAACAAGTGAGCTGGTTGCAATCATCTCCGATTTGCATCGATGCGTGGGCGCCTTTTCGTCTTCCGAGTCGGAGTGTGTGACCAGCAGTAGCAGCAATCGAGTGCTGCTCTTCTCAGCAGTTACTTCAGCAGGCAACAGTACCATCAGCTTTTCGTCTTCCTTTACTACTTTTCTACTAAATCGAAAGCGATTGCTTCAGCAGTTATTATCATTGCTTCATTCGGGCGACAGAAAAACAGACAGAGACACCTGTGAAACAACTGGCGTGAATGTCTGAATGAAGCGCCCTCGGAGCACTGCGACATGCACCGACCATCCGGCGGCTCTCGACCGCAAGCTGCAGGCAGTCGTCGAAACTACACTCGCAACAGCAATGCTGCATTCAAGTTTCACAATTTCGTCTTCAACGAGGATAATCAGAGCTTCTGCCTGGAAGAGCAGCATGGCAATAAGAAGATTACCGTTCTTCACTGGAAAAAGTCAGAAGTGGAGAAAAGTGGCAGCGGCGGCAGTGGGAGCACCGCCGATGATGGCACATCAGAACATCTGCTTTCTGAGGAGACGGAGCTGGAAGAGTCGAACACTACGGACAGTCCACCGGAGATTGTCACCTACGACCAGGCGGGAAAGACCATCTCACGACAGCTGAGCAAAACGTCCTCCGACTCAACGTCGGCGACGAAGCGTCGGACACACGAAGTGACCACTTCTGCGTCCTTTCCACCACTCTCTTCACACGCTAACCGCAACGCTGCTGCTGCAGCATCAGTCTCCACTTCAACCTCCTCTTCGGCAGTTCCTCCACTCTCCTCTCCACCGCCAGCACCTGCGCCAGCACCTCCTCTCTCTCCTTCTTCTGTATCCTCGAGTCATCATCATCCACTTCAGCATTCGCTAACACCTCCCACATCACTACTGTCTCCTTCTAGTCACTTTTCTCCGGCGTTGTCCGCCGACTGCCCAAGCCCACACTTGAGCTCTCGCCTTCGATACCACCCGCTGTCAAAGTCCACCGCCAGCTCGTCCTCCATTGCCACAAGCAGCAGCAACTCTTCTTCTAGTGCCGTGGCAGCCAATTGGCTGCACCAATCTCTTCATGACTTGGATCTCACAGAGTTGCCGTACGGGAGTTTTAGACTGCCAAGCACTAGCGGTGTTCGTCGAAAGGCGACTCAAGTTCGACGAATCGTTGTGGATGAAGAAGATGACGACGAGGATGATGATGACGACGAGACAGACAGATCAGACGATGAACTGAGCGACCAGGAGATGATGGCTGCAGATGATAGTAACCTCTTTTGCACCTACCGACGTTACCTTGAACAGTTTGATCGAAAAGAGCAGACCCAGCCACTGGATCTGTCAGTGAAAAATGTGATGGTGGATGACAACAACAATACCACCACTTCTAGTCGCAGGCCTACGGCAACACATCACTGGAACATTGATTCCATTCTAGGACTAAAGAGTCCACAGTCATCCTTCAGCAAAAGTGGGTCGGTGGATGAGATGGATANTTACCTTGAACAGTTTGATCGAAAAGAGCAGACCCAGCCACTGGATCTGTCAGTGAAAAATGTGATGGTGGATGACAACAACAATACCACCACTTCTAGTCGCAGGCCTACTACGGCAACACATCACTGGAACATTGATTCCATTCTAGGACTAAAGAGTCCACAGTCATCCTTCAGCAAAAGTGAGTCGGTGGATGAAATGGATCNATGGCTGCAGATGATAGTAACCTCTTTTGCACCTACCGACGTTACCTTGAACAGTTTGATCGAAAAGAGCAGACCCAGCCACTGGATCTGTCAGTGAAAAATGTGATGGTGGATGACAACAACAATACCACCACTTCTAGTCGCAGGCCTACGGCAACACATCACTGGAACATTGATTCCATTCTAGGACTAAAGAGTCCACAGTCATCCTTCAGCAAAAGTGGGTCGGTGGATGAGATGGATAGAGCCTTCCAGTCGAGTCGCAGTGAAGTTCTCAGCCCTTCAGCAATGATCTCCTCGGTAAAGTGTTGCTCACCTCCTGCAGCTGCAGCTGAACACTACAGAGCTACAACTACCAGCAGCAGCAGCAGCAGAAGCAGCTGTACGGTGAATCCGTTTATGTTGCCTGGCTGCAGCACTAATACCACTGATGGCGTTTTTTCGCCGTTCAGTGCAGCGGCACCCACTTCAAGACGTCATGAGCGCGCTGATGAATTAAGACGGCACCATCCGTCATCGTCCTCATACCTATTCGACGCCTTCCTCGAGGAGGAGATTTCGCGGCTGTTGCAGCAGACAAATGCAAAGTCGCCGCCGTCATCTGCCGAAGCTTCCACTTCCACCTCCTCTTCTCGCATATATCACCACCACCCGAGGACAGCCACAACATCAACAACATCAACAACATCAGCAACAACCACCACAGCACCACGAGACGAGTACGAAGACATTGAGGAGCGAATCGAGGACAAGTTGCGCTCTTTGCACCGAGAGGTGCTTTCGCGGAAGGCGGCTCTCGAACGGCGAAGTCGCCTTGGAGGCGACAAGGACGCCGGTTCAGCAGGTCAAGAGCACCTGAAGTTGCACTTTAAGTTGGATGCCGCTCGCAATGGCAGTCTTGAACTGTTCGGCACCGAGGGAGCCAGGCAGTCAGGCAGCAGCAGTCGAACACTGTCGGAGCCAAACTTGAACCAGCAACCGTTCCTGTCGCCGTTCTCGTCGAATAAAGGTCGACCGCCGAGCAGTCAACGGAATCAGATCAAGAGGCAGCTGGAGGACGCCTTCAAGCAGAATGGCTTCCTCGTGAAGGTAAGAGGTGGGCACAAGTACCTGTAGTTGTAGTACCAGTTCAAGGGTGCTAATTCTTTCTTTTCTTCTGTGACACTCTCGCAGACGAAGCAAGTCAGCGACGCCAACAACATGGCCATGTTCTGCAAGTTTCGCCAACTTCGCAAGTACACACGATACTACCTAAAGTCCTGGCAGAATCATCTTCCCGAGGAGGTGAACAAGCTCTGGAAAGGGTTTCTCCCACCAAAGACTGAACGGCCGCTGAGTGAGCAGCAGCAGTTGCTGTACCCCCATCACCACCTCGAGCCATCGACCTCGTCGGTGGCACTGTCGTCACTGGAAAGTGTTCACCCACATTTTAGAACTGATCTAACTGAATGAATGAATGAACAAATGTTCACCAACAAATGTATTTTATATCTAGTCAGCCGCTGATCGATTTTGAATCCCTTGCTTTCTATTTTTTCTCTCCCCTTCTCAATTACGACAGTTTCATTTGCAAACTTTCTCTCTCTCACAGTCACATAACACGATGATTACTCCGCTGAGCTTCCCCTTCCAATGTCAATACACACTTTTTTCTCCTTTTCCTCCTCTTACAACTACTTTTGTCTGTGATGTCTTTTGATCCCACCACTCATTTCTCTTTTTCTTTCTGTTTGCTTACTTATTACTCTATGACAGTCTTTACTCTTGCACACTTTCTCTCATCCCAAACCCCTTTTCTTCTCTTTCTCGCTGACGATTAAAGTCCACTCCATTCTCAACTTCGGTCACGTCACCGTCGCCATCGTCGTTTGTTCGTTCGTTCACTCGTTTGTTCACTCGTTTGCTCGTTCGCACTGTCGCCCCATAATTGGCGATGACTGAGCACTGCAATCGCATTTCCTCTTCCGGTCGGCGGCCCTCTCGAATCTGAACGGTCGGCGCTGTGTTCTGGCGACTGTCGTTGGGTCGATGCTGTGCTGTGCCTTTCTCGGTAGTGGTAATGGGAATGGGGACCAGTTCGCTCGAGCGAGCATCAACAGCAGCATCGGCGGCAACTTCAGCAGCACTAGCTGCCCACTGGCCGTTTCGTCGCATCCAGCTGTACAGCGTTTTTTAGGCGTTCGACCTCGAAAGCGGGAAAAGCGGCAGTGTGTTTGTGTGTTTGTGTACACGGTCATTATTCAGAGTTGTTGTTGTGACAAGTGGGGCTGAAGAGGGGAAAAAGAGAGCGCGAGAAGCAATGCTGCCCGATTTAAATTAGCGTAGTGCCGCTGCCTCTCTCTTCTTTCTCTGCTTGGTATTCTTTTGGCAATCGATCGTATTGGCGGCAAATGACAGCGTTCAGTTTTGGCTGAAGCAGCAGCAACAGCGATGATGACACCATTTGTAGGCAGGCAAACCGACCGACAGTAGTAAGCATGTAAATTAGAGGCCATTCGGTGGCATCGCACTCAGATGAGTCTGTCTCTCCTTAGAGCTCTTCTTCTTCTTCCGAGCAAACGCGCAAACTGAATTAGCCTTCATTGGTGGAAGCCCTTAGCCTTAGCTTCGGCGGCAGTTTGTCGCCCAGCAGCCCAGCATTGCACTAATGGGTTGTCACTTTTCTGTGTAAACGGGCTTCTTCTATGTTGTGCGAAAGCTCGCTCGAGATGGCTTTAAAGTCGTTCCACTTTAGTAGCTCGTCAAGTAGTGGTAGCAGTAGTTGTAGTGGTAGTGATTCTTCTCAATCCGTTCCAGTAATGAGGCAACTCGTCTTTGTGTGAAAGCAAATGGCGCTGCCATTAAAGACTGCTCCACTGGGAGTAAAAAGAGAGAGGTATTCTGAAGACTCCCCAGGATGCCTAATGCAATGTCTCGTTTAAGGCTAAAGTACAAACGGGATAACTATTTTAGCAGATGGGAAAAACTGTCACTTTTACATGACAACTTTTTTGGGCTCATTCTTATCCCATCATGTAGTTTGGTCAAATTTTATTTCATTTTACTTTTTTGGTTTTTCTAATGTTCATCTATTTTTTGTATGCGGGTTATGCTATTTTTAGTTAACCACTTTTCACATCTACCTAGGTGAGTGCTAGTTTGATTTATAACATATTTTCTCTCGCAAATAATCATATTTTCTAATTAGCATTTTTATTATTTATAGCCACTTCCTGCCAGTACATTTCTTTTCACTCTGCTGCCTACATTAATAAAACCGCTAAATATTTTTAACTGCTGATCATCTATTTTATCTTTACCAGATTGCAGTACGCCGCATCCTCACTTTATTCTCTTGTTTTAACGGTAGTCTTTTCTGTGAACTGCATCAACTGCCAAGTCTGTCAGCAGTACACAATGCCCATTTTTAGCTGCGCCATTCACCGTACTTCCCCCACACAGCTACTTCCAGTAATTGCCATTAATCTTAATAGCGGAGCTTAATTAATTCTATTTACACATAATTACGCATATCAGCGGGCAATCTTCTTTTTCAGCTAGTGCTGGAGCAGTATTTTGTATCCACCCGCCACAGTGTAGGAATGCTGGTCATGGCAGTAAAATGGTTAGCGCGGGTGAGCGGCGGCAACCCGACGGTACTACGAAAATCTAATTAAAGTGGTCGAGCCTGATTGATGTCGCACTCTCCACTAGAACATAGGGCACTGGTTTTTTCTCTTTCTAATACTTCACTGTCTGCTGTCTACATTTTTCTACTGGCTCGATTTGTTCGGTTCTCAGCAGCGGCTAATTTGATTTTACAATTGCCACAGCCGCCGATGCCGTCGACTCAGTTTCAGTAGTTGAATTGCACTAAAGCACTGGCGCCTGGATTTCAATTCACCAAGACTGTGTGTGCTGTAATTCAATTTCAGACCTACACATTTGCCACAAAACTAGTGCTCAACTGCTACTGCTACTCTACTGTTTTGGTGAATTGTGTACTGCCATTGTTCTTGCCGGTTCTTCCCATCAGTCAGTGGCCCGTTCTCAAGTGCCCCTTTCCTCACACACTGCGTGTGTACTTTGTTCTTTCAGCCGACTAATTGTTGTTCACTGCTCTCACACACTCCTTCCTGCCGTCACTGGTCACTGCTACTTTTGAGTTTGGCGTCCTCGCTAATCTATCGATCCGCAATTAGCTTGCTGGCTGCCGTCGCCGCCACTACCGCCGCCGTCAAAACTTTTCCATCACCGGCAGCACCCTTTTCTCGGTTCCTTCTCGGCGCAAAACATCATAAACTTTTATTTATCAAGGCTGTGATTTTTTTGTACAGATGCTGAAGTTTTCTGTGTAGTTTTCTGTGTTTGTGTGTATGTGAGTGAGGGAGTGAGTGAGTGTGTGCAGATGATGATGATGATGATGACTAGTGCACTGCTGATTGATGTGCTGATTGGTCCGTTTGGGTTGAGCTCATTTAGGCTGGCAGCCTCAGTAGTAGTGCTGCAGTTCGTATTCCTCCACTTCCGCCCCGCCGTTCTCCTCGGCCTCTGCCTCCTCCTGCCCTGCATCGTCGCCCTCCTCCGCCAGTAGTAGTCAGACCTGACTGGCACTGCCTGGCCCGAGAATCGCCTCGAGACGCAACAGTCGCAGTTCGCAGAGCTTCATGGGCACCACGGCAAAAAGGAGCGCCACCATAAGGAAGTACAGTTTGAAGTTGAGGCAGACAAACTCGCTAACGCCAAAGCTGGCGCCCAGTCCCAGACTGGTGAAGCTGTACACTGTCAGCAGGGCATAGTTCCACTCTTCGGCGGTGAATGTGCGCAGGATGTTTGCTGTGATGAAAGAGAGAAAAAGGAAAGAAAAAGAATATGAAAAACACAGTAGCAGAAAGAAAGGGAAAATATTCAAATTAGACTGTCAAATTGAATTGCCTTATTTATTGGGAAACTTGTGCAAATGGGCAAATGTGTTTAGTTGTGTGTGTGTTTGTTTGTGCAAATGAAATTGGCCCCCTCGGTTATCGCCTGTTTTCATTTCTTTTGAATTCAGTCCAGCTGGCCATTCTTTTGACGGGCAGACGCAATCTCGCAGTGCTTGGTCTGCATTTCCATTTGGCCCATCATTGTCATTGTGCCAGTGCACGCTCGCCAGATTTGTCCTCACCACTGTTTTCATGATGGCCGTTGACAGATGAACTGGCGCTGAGTTGTCCTGAGTTAGTGAAGTAACTGGCCATTTTGTCACGCATTCTATTCAGCATCGATGGGTTGTTTGCATGGCCGCTTTTCCTGTGTTTAGTTCCATCGCTTTTGAAGGTTCTTTTTACAACCGCACAAACAGAGTAAAACTTGTCCGAAAAAAAGGTCGCCCAGATAGACTTTTTTGTGAACTGCTCCAAGTGCTTATCAATGTCCATTTTAATATCCGCTTTCACTTGCTCCAAATCGTCGGCTGTAATGGTCACGAGTTCAGGTGCAACAAGCAATTTTTTTCGAGGCATGATGACTATTCTCTACAAGTTAGAGTGCCAGATTGCCAGTTTCATTGATTGCTTGATTAAGCAAAGTTCGAAATATATTTGCCTGTTTACACTCGATCAGTCGTTGCTACTAAAACTTTCTGGCACACAAACCACCGCCACATTACATTGAGATAATTGTTTTACTGTCGGGTAATTGCCCTTGGAAAGTGGTTTTATTTGCCTGCTATTTCCCTTGCTATTAGCCCCTTTTGCTAGCGCCCAATTGGGGCTGCCAATTGCGCTGATGCACTTTAGGAAGCAGAGCCGTTTTATGGCTCTCTCTCTCTAATTTACATAGCTTGCAAAATGCCACCCTCTTCACACACTCACACTCCATTGACTGAAACACTGCTATTCCGTCCATTTTTTTGGTTGGAAGTATTGACATCGGCTAAGATGAAGGGAAAGAAGGGAAGACAAAGATGAAACTGAGAATTGAGGCCAGCAGCAAAATGCCGCAACTGCAGATAAATAGATTGGTCGCCTTTCTTGGCCCGAGCATTAGGGACCATTAGTAAGCCGATGCTTTACTATTCTTTCTTTTTCTATCTTGCTGTGTAAGCCATTAATATTCATATACGCCCG